GGTGGGTGGGAGGAAGGAAAGAAGGAAGGAAGGAAGAGAGAGGGATGGGCGCTGGGATGGGTAGAAGCGGAACGAGCGGCGGTCTGCTCGAGGCACTTCCCACAGGAACTCCCCTGCACGTGGCGATGCTCGGTCTCGACAGCGCCGGGAAGACGACCGCCCTGTATAGACTAAAATTCGATCAGTATCTCAATACCGTACCGACTATTGGCTTTAATTGCGAGAGAATTCGCGGTGGCATCGGAAAAGCTAAAGGTACATCTCCCACAATTTTCCATCTTTGGTCTTTGACCATTTGTGTCTTTTTCTAATAGGTGTATTTCAAAACCATCAATTTTAAGGCCTGTCCTTTTTAGCTGAATTTCTTGCATGGTTCATCTTTCTTCCTTTTCCCTCCACGTTGGAGAGAAAAAGAAAATAGATGAACCGTGTAAGAACTTAAGCTAAAAACAATAGATCTTTAGTCTTCGTTTTTGTAATGGTAGTCTCGTTGGCTAAGAATCTAGAATTGATTTTCCTTTCAGCGAGACTGTTGATGTTTTTCAAGTTACAAGTGATCGAAGAAAAAGAGTTTTTCGCGAACGAATTTTCGATAAGTTAAACGGTATTACTCGCTTTAATTAATTCCAAGTATTAAAATTTATATCAATAAAATTTGATACAAATTTCGTATATAAAGACAGGACGAAAAAATCGAAAAAATTACAATAAACAATAATTTTTTTCGATATATTCAATAAGTAAAAAAAAATCAACTCCAAATTAACTAAAAAATAAAACATCCTTTTAATGACATTTTTTTAAAATACTTTATATTAGTAATAAATAAAAGAAGCATGTAGCCATATGCAAGATGTTTGTAGTAAAAATTTAAAAGTAAATTTAAATTTCGTTATAAAAAAAAACATTAACGTTTTGGCCCAGATTGAATCATCTTTAGTATGTTATACAATACATACAGAATAAATATAAATTAACCAATTAATTGTCAAATTTAATTAATTAATTTACATTTATTCTATATGTATAACATACTGAAAGGTGGCCAAATCTGAGCCGAAATGTCTGATTATAATATTTTATAACATTAATATAAAAATTTTTAGTATATAACTTCCGCTATAGCCTGCGTGTGGTTCTTTTATTTATTGTTTATATTTATTAAGCTATTATCTAGCTATCTAACTTTGTATTAAAATTTGATACAGTTGAATCTTCACATTTTTTTTCCTTTTCTTGTTTCTTGTTTTTTACTATTGAGCCTCTGTAAATTATTTCTACTGCTACTCTCCTACTATATAATTTTTATTCGAATACATTTCTTATCTAAATCTAACATATATGTTACTGTTATAAAATTGAGTGGAAATTGATGAATGCTATCAAGATTAGAGAAATTGCTCGGTTTCCAATGACTAAACTAAGTATACAAAAGTTCGATTATAAATGCAATAAGTCACGGACACATTTTTGGACGCCAGTGTCACGTCGTTATGATTTTTTCCATCTTAAAACGCAGTACATCTTTTGATTACAGGTGTTAATTTTCTTGTGTGGGACGTTGGCGGACAAGAAAAGCTACGGCCGCTGTGGAAATCTTACACAAGATGCACCGATGGTATTATTTTTGTCGTTGACTCTTGCGATACTGAACGGCTTGAAGAGGCAAAAATGGAGCTTACCAGGACGGCGAGAAGTCCGGATAATGCGGGTGTGCCGATCCTAATCCTTGCCAACAAACAAGATTTGCCTGGTATAATTAATATAAAATTTACTTAAAACTTATAAATTATATTTCAAAGACATTGGACATCTTTTTAATTAGAAAGTACTATTTTATTTTTGTTGCCTAATTATTTATTTCAAATTTTGTTGTCTCATATTTATTTGACATGCTCTTTTTTCAAACCTTTTTGCATAACATAACACAGTAAACATATTTATTTTTGTATGCAAACTTGATTCGTAGCAGTTGATACAAACGACCGTAGCGCGCACAATGCGTTTGTCATTTCCGCGTCGTGTGAATACATCGTATTTTTCTGAAATTATATTACACACTGCAAGTAGTTATATAAGAATATGAACAAACGCGCATGTTTGTTAAATATTAAGTTTCCACATTGATGGAAAAATTAGTTTGTAATTCAAAAAATATAAGATATTACAAACTATAAAAAATCTGTCATCAAAAGGACATATCTCGCATGATTTTGAGATATCTTACATACACATGAAACAAACTATAAAAAAATAGAAGAAATTTTTTTTTAATATAAATAAATACAGAATAAGCATTATTTAGTTATTCATTTTTTTATGATTATCAATTGAATGCGCGAATTTCGTAATTTTGGATATCTCGTTCTATTTATATTGTATAACTTTTGAATAAGGGCCTGCGCATAATAGAACAAATATTAGGAATAGGAATAAATGATTTCAACTTATCAGATACCATTTATATCGGTTTCTAATAGGTTGAAATCTTAATATTTATTCCTATTCGGTATTCCTAATATTTTCTCCATTGTGCGCAGGCCATTAGGCTTTCTAATATGTATATTATGGTGGAAAATGATTTACGAATAAACTTTATACAAATGCTTAATATAAAGATTTTACGTGAATTTTTATTGAGCAAAGCATTGCCACTTTGAGTGGCCTTACTTAGGAACATAGTTTGTTGAATTATGGAATAGTTAAGAATAATATAAACATTTTGCTTTATTTTGTTAACGAGCTTTTTATTATATAGGTGCGAAAGAAGTTAGTGAACTAGAGAAGCATCTGGGAGTGTTAGAACTAACCGGAATGCCAGGCAGCGCTTGTATTCGTGTGCAACCAGCGTGCGCTATTACAGGCGAAGGACTTCACGAAGGCTTAGACACACTATACCAGTTGATATTGAAACGACGCAAATTGGCCAAACTGAATCGGAAACGGGCCAGGTAGGCCAGGGCTTCGGAAGACTGCACATGCGTCTTCTGATATTGTCGATTGCGGACAGCCTCTCCTTTGGCGACGCTTTCCACAACTTCCATCTCGTTCTCTCTTTCCAATTGCGATGAGGATCTAGCACATTAACTCGAAAGAAGTGAACGGTGATCACGAAGGGTGCGATCACTTCCCTCTGACTTTCACTCTCAGCGAGATGCTGTTGGAATTACTAGCATCGATTTTGAGATGTGTGTGTGTGTGTGTGTGTGTGCGCGCGCGCGCGTGTGTACGTGTGTGTGTGTTTGTATGCATGCATGTAAGTATATATCAGTGTAGAGCTGCATGTGAATATGAGAAAAAATAGAAATGAGGGATTTTAATAACTACTGTTCCTATTAAGTTGTTGCATATAACATTTTTTAATTAAAAATTGAGATTATTGGTGTTCAAGTTTATGCAATTTTCGAAATTGATATATTATCTATTAGTAATCTTTTTGATTTTTTGCTTAAATGAGATGTAAGATGAAATGCTTTTACGACATCAAAACTAAAAAAAAATATACTTGAACAGTGTAACTTTCAAACATTTATAAATTTTTTTATCGATTCAGGGACTCGGACCGGACTGATACCGATAACTGGACTGTAACCGCTATTTTTATCGGATCGAAATATTGTGCAGGCTAATGGACCGAAATGGTAACCAGATTAAAAATGTTTTCTAGTTCAGTTTCGATTCAGTTTTCGGTCCAAATTTTTTAACTTCATCGGTACGATTGTCGATTACAATCGACAGCCACCAAACATACGTATCCTTGGCCAAGCGTCAGCTATAGTCAATAGTTATCCAGCCAGTGATAGGAAATCGGGGACAGGCATCACAGGCGTTTTTTTTCATCCACTCGCTCTGTCCTCACTTTCGGTAAAGGCGAGAAGGATAGAACGATGAAGGAAAGAAGAACAGTGAGTGGAGTACTTGTAATCTTACCATGCAGCACAGAAAGATTGTAAAATGATTGCAGATATATCTCATTGCAATGTTGTAATATTGCAAATAGATTGCGCAGTGTATTTGCAATATTGTTGCAATGTTATCGCATCATAAAAATGTCCGCCTTCAGTAAGATTGCGCTGTAATGTCGTAGCGATGTTGCAACGCAATGTATTTGCAACTATTATTAAAAATAATTCTTTTATCATTACTAAATATAATTTGAAATATAATTTGTGATGTAAATTTTTAAAAATACAAAAAAAGAACTAATCAATATATATTTTATATTACAATTATTATATTTTGTACTTAATTGCAAATTTTATGTGCAGGTATATATATTTTTTAAATTTTACATAGGTAAACATATATTTTACACTTTGTTGGTACGCTTATTTTGTACATATTTTTAATTAGTGAAATGGAAATATTAAGAAACTCTACGCTTCTATTTCATTTTCTTTGCAATATTTAAAGAATTTTTTTAATCCAAATATTTCAAAAAATTATGAGAATTGATTATAAAGTTTGAAAAATTTTGTCGCGCGGCGGTGACAAGTGTTTCAACAAACACTATTCTAATTCTTAATGGCTTCCACACACTGGACGCGGAAATACTTGCCGCGCGACAAAATGCGATGCCTGTAACCAATAAACTTACAACTAACATTTTTATTGATTACCTTGTTGCATTTTGCCGCAAGTGTTTTCGCATTAGCGTACAGAAGCCATAAATGAATGGAAATAATTAACAATCATATAATGTGTAATTGACGTATGTTTCTAACATATGTACATGTGACAGCAGTTCATTACTCAAAAGTTAAAATATTTTTTAATGTCTGTAACAACGCTGCAAGATTCATAAACCGTAATATATATTATAAAAAATTATAATTCCTAATACCTATAATATTGTAGCGATATTACAGCGAAATCTGTAATATTACTACATTTCTGCAATGTTACTGCAAGTTTGTATACTGTATGGGTACATTCATATTTTTAACTCTTCTTAGACACGTAGTTGATTTTAAGGCTCTTGAATAGTCGCCTGTAGCAATTGAAAAAAATTATCTGTTTACAGTGTTTACATAATCTTTTATTCCATATTTTTTTTTAAATTATTTTTTTCAATAAATATTTTGTTTAATAAATATGAATTTTTTAAATATGCAATTTATGCTTATTATATTACTTTTTTTTATAGTAGTTTTTATAGTAGTTTTTTTATAGTAATCATACTCCCGTAACCGAAAAAAAATTGAAGTCTAAATGGTTATGGCCATCATTATCGATGAAAGAACATCGGTGAAAAAAGATTGAAATTATCGATAAAAAAACCGAAAATTGGGTACAGCCTCTGACCGTAACCAGACCGATTCGATCCGAGTCCCAGATCATAAGAATATTAATTTATTATCTGCAATTGTTGGGCACAAATTTACAAATAAATTTACAAATTTGAAATGATTTAGACATTGTATTGTAAGTTCTTCTTCTCTTTATATAATTAAATTAAATTTTATGTTGAATTAAATTTATTTTGTATGCAACAATGTAATGATTAAAATGATCGTAAATATAAATGTGTGACGATGCTAGTCGACTGAGGAAAATCTATCGTTGCGACAAAGAAAAAAAAGTCGATGCGAAAGTGGTATAAATGTAAGTAAATAATTGTAAATAAATCGGAAAAGTTGTAATTTCATGCTGGCACAAATTTCAAATGCAAAGATGCATTAACACGAGCAACGAAGTTAATTAATGTGTGACAAAAAATCTGTGACAATATAAGTCGTCATAAATTACTTCGCGAAATTGGATATTTTGTTGCAAAGATTAATTATTACCATATTTTTTAATATTATATAAAGCAACACAGCATATATTCTTTTTGATTACATGCGAATAATTTGATGTTACTTATTTCATAAACATTTTTTATACAACCCTTGTCATTAAACATTAAATATATTGAATATATTGAAGGGATTTTAAAGAAGCACTTTTATATGTTATATTTATTATAAATTTTGATATAGTGCAGGAAAAGTTTTTTGATGTTGATTTAATTTTATTCTTTTAATTCACAGAGAGAGAGAATTAATCGAATCATTTAATAAATGAATATGTTTGTGATTTTAATGAGATTATATTGCTTATCGAAATGTCGCTATATGTTTCTATGGAAAACTTTTGAGTTTCTTTCGCCCTGCCATTTATTGATGATTATTAATGTCAATAAATTGTGCCGCTTAGGGCTGTTGTTCCATCTTCGGATAAATTATGTAGTAATTTATGTATTGGATAAACAAAAGAATAAAAGAATAAGAACAAAAGAGAGTAAGATAATGAGCTGAAGTTTTTCGAAAGGTGGAACAACTCAGGCCGTGTTTCGATATGCACTGCTAGTATTGAAAATCTGTAATTACATATACTGTAGATTTTCAGTACTATATATCGGAACACGCCTTCAGCCTCAACGTTATTAATGCCTAATATGTTATCTATATATATACTTTTTAAAACTAAAAAGTTCTCGAAAATGATTAATAATGGCACTAAAATACAATATTGTTATATTTAATATACAAGTACAAAAAATATTTAGAAAGAACCAAGAACTCACTTATTTGTCATTTGTATGTCGCGGAATTACTATTATCTCTACAGGATATACATGTATGCATATTAAGGTAGAAATATCTATATATATAT